ATATATATATATATATATATATATATATATATATATATATATATATATATATATATATTATATATATATATATATATATATATATATATATATATATATATATATATATATATATATATATATATATATATATATATCTATATATATATATATATATATATATATATATATATATATATATATATATATATATATATATATATATATATATATATATATATATATATATATATATATATATATATATGAAATTTCTTAGATCATCTGAATTCCATTCACCCAAGGATTCAATTTACAATAGAACTTGAAGAGGATAACAGTCTGCCCTTTTTAGATGTGCACATCACAAGGACCGAAGATGGACACTTGGAACACACTGTCTATAGAAAACCAACACACACTAATAGATATCTGAACGCCTAAATCTCATCACCATCCATCACAGATACAGGCAGTGGCAAATACATTAATTGCTCGGTCCTTCAGGCTCACAAACGAGAGGAACAGAGATAAAGAACTGAAGAAAATTAGTACCTGTCTTCAACAAAACGGATACCAAAGGCGCACCATCAGCAAGGCAATCAGTAAACAACAACAGCCGCAGCAGAGAGTGCAGGACGAGACCCAACGAAGATCGATCGCTGTCCTGCCATACATCAAGGGGGTTACTGACAAAATCGGCCGAATATTACGGACACACGACATATCAACGGCATACAAACCTGATCATACCATCGGAGCAATACTAGGAAACCCAAAACAAAAAATTACTCTGGAAAACCAAGGAGTATACAGTGTAGCATGCGGATCGTGCAGCCTGACGTATGTGGGACAGACCAACAGAAGGATTTCAGCCAGGCTCGAGGAACATCGTTTAGCCATAAGAAACAAACAAACAACATCTGCTTTGTTTCAGCACCAACATCAGACAGGCCATAAAATTGATTTCGGCACTTGCAAACAAATAGCTAATATTCCTGATTTTAGGACTAGGATTATACGAGAGGCCATCGAAATAGAAAAGTCCGGACACCTCAATACGAGAGACGACGCTCTGCATTTATCCAACACGTGGAGAACGATAATCAAACAGCAGAGCGATGCGCAGCAGCCAACGGGGACATCGCAACTACGATCGGGCGAAATTAACAACGCGACAATTCAGGGGGCGGAGCCACCTCCCCCCACGCACAAGCAGCACCGTTACCATCTCCGGCGCAGAGTATAAATACCGCACGCACCGCCGATAACCTCCCAGTGTTCGAAGTGTTTTCGGAGCGCGAGCATTGAAGATGCCAAGTGAGATTTTGGCGAAACGTCTGCAGGATTCCAGTCGGATGCAGGATTCCAGTCGGAGTTCAACGAGCGAACGGATGATATCCCGGAATATAGTGTCATCATATATATATATATATATATATATATATATATATATATATATATATATATATATATATATATATATATATATATATATATATATATATATATATATATATATATATATATATATATATATATATATATATATATATATATATATATATATATATATATATATATATATATATATATATATATATATATATATATATATATATATATATATATATATATATATATATATTATCTTTTGACTTGTTTAGGCGCGTAAAACTTGAGAATTTGTTAATGAGTCCAGCAGATTAGGTGAATAAAATATTTAAAAATATAATATCCTAATGAAGAAAATTGTTATTGGATTTTAAACACGTCGTTGGCTGTATCACCATTTGAAATAAGAGCATTTATTTATTTATTTGTTTAGTCAATTATCAAGTTCGATACGTTTAATTTATTGCAGACTTTCTGTATTTTTATCCGATTTGATGCACATGTGAATTGGCTTGAATTGCAGGAATTTAATGCCATTACATTTTTGGTTAGTTTTGATGAGTTTTTTAATTAAAATATTGATTGATTATTTAAAATATTTTAGTCCGTTACTTGAATCAATATTTCAAATTCAAAAAAAATATAACCAAAACCGAAATCTTAACTGCCAACGGTTGCAGTTTCACCAATAAAAAGTCCAGCCAATTTGCAAGTCTTTTCTGGCATTCCTATTTTTGCAGATATTCTTAAATCAATCAATTAACGATATCACTTTTGTATAAATTATTCTTAATTCGTCATATCAGAATTGATTTTGTTGCAGTTATTGAAAAGGCACACTGTCATAGTGAATATGTTTAAAAGAATAGGTATACTTTGACAAACGCTCAAGAAAAATCGTTTTTTTTACGCGTTGAGATTTAAAGTTATAACTCAGAATGAGAATTCATTTTTTTATCAGTTTATTGCGTGATCATAAAAAAGGAACATTCTTAAAAAACATGTTGATATATGTATGTACGATTTTATAAATCCACTATCTTGAATAAAAATGTTACCCAACGAGGGACAAAATTGCGATTAATTTCGACCATTTTCCATTCACCGTTAGCTTTCGGAAACCTGTTAAAATCTTCTTTTAAGGGGATTTGTAACGTATTTTGAAACCAATTAAAAGAAGCTGAGATTCCATGAAAGTGTTGGTAAGAAATAAAACAGCTGAGATTCCATCAAAGTGTTGGTAAGAAATAAAACATCCGCTTTAAAGAAAACTTTTCGAATTCATTTATTATTTCGAAACGAGTCGAAAAGTTCGCGTTCCTGTCTCCTATAAAGCGGAAGACGTACATAATGTACATGTGTACGTTGCCAATTATTGCTGTTCATCATAAGTTATGTTTTTTTCCTTCAATGCTGATTTAGTTGCCACTACCGAAAATGTATATGAAAGTTACCTCGTAGGCGTTTCCTGTGCCAAAGTAGATGGGAATGAAAGCTAGCCAAATGATGCACGTGGTGTACATGGTAAATCCGATGAATTTCGACTCATTAAAGTTTTCCGGAATTTTTCTCGTTTTTACGGCGTAAACCGTGCAAATTGTAATCAGGAGCATATTGTAGAGCTGAGAGAACAGGAAAGACATGTCTTGTATCTTGCATTTGAGAATAACCTGCAACAATAAATAGTGCACATTGAAAAAATTAAAGTCCGCCAAGTTTTTATGTATAGAGCAAACCGAAGAACAATGTGTACTAATGGTAATTTTAAAAAATGTTGCCCTCCAAAATGCCATGGTTGTAAAGGAATAGAATATTATGCAACAAGTGGGGTAAACAGCATTTGAGCCAGAAGTTTATTTGGCGCGAGCGGAGCGCAGCGAAGCGAGTGTTTAATAAACGAGTGAGTTAAAAAGTTTACCGAACGTGTTGCATATAATACTTTTTCTACGACCGTTAGTTTTTGGATCCATTTTTGGCAAACAAGAAGAATGATCAGAATTGATAAACGTCAAAATTCAAGCCGTGCGGTAAAATCTCCGAAAACATCCGATTGCTCCCAAACCCGTGCGGTAAAGTCCCGGAAATGTCGGAAGTGGCTCGGCTCTGTAGGACAAGAAACTCACATTGTAGAGTGACGCTTCCCGCACCAAGGATCGGTGTATAGTTAGGTATTTTACAGAAGGGAATAGGAAAATATGTTTTTATAATCCTGGATAGACAGGACTTTTCTATTCAGAGAACTATTTGTTTTATGCAGTCGGTATCAAATAACTTGTGGCATTTATCTGGTAGAATCCATCTGATACAAGGGATTACCAGGCATACCACAATAGCTGCAAAAAAAAAAGTATTTTCTTTTTTAACTTCTATAAATTCTGATCAAGGTAACCGCATCTAAATTAAAAATGTTCTACGATATATAGGAATTTGTAAAAACCCATCAGGAAGGACAGGAAAAATTCTGAGTAAAAGTATACATTTTACTTTACTAGTACTTTGCTTGAGTAACTCCAGTTGGTCAAAAGGAAACATACATTTGTATTTGACTTTGCGTTTGGTATTTTGTCTCAATAAACTTTCCAAATGCCCCGTGTAGGCGCATTTGAATGAAAATCGAAATACATTTCAAAAACTCCTAAGGGAATTGGGACGTGCTTCAGCCTTTAAACACCAAAACCTTCCGATTTCACTCAACGTTTTCGTAAAACGCAAAACGACTTTTCACATTTGAATTGCTATTACTGAAAATGGTCGTATTTGATTTTTCCAGATTCATATCGGTAGATTTGTTATTATGTCGGGGTTGTTTTGGCAATTTATATATTTTTAAATTGAGTTTAAAACTTCTTTATTAAGTAACTGCGCACTTTTTTTAGAATTCAGCAAATATAAGATAAATTAGTGAAAGGCGTTATGTTTTCCTCCATATTTTGGGTCGTTCCATTTATTTAATCAATTTTAAAGTTAATTTCTCTTATTAAGCCTAATTTTAAAACACGGATCCGGAAACGCTTCCACTGGAGTTTAGTTTCTTGCAATTCCATTCTAAAAGAGCCCAGAGCCCGAATTTATCATTCTTAGTTAATTTTAAAAATAAATTATTTAATACTTTCCCCACCTTCATTGACGGAGATACGAAAAAATAGGACTAATATGATCAAAAACTGATAAGCAGTTGTTTGCCGAATTTTTATAAATAATTTTCTTTATTTGTTTTAACGCTTTGATTCGAAACAAATAAGAACAAAGAGTAAGGATCCATGTTTGAATAACCTGAATACTACAAACAACAACAAGAACGATAACTTACAGTTCGTCTAGTGGGGTAGTAAAATCTTGTGCCAGGAGGTTCGATAATCATCCAGACTAAAGTGAGAATTATCTGGATGGCAATCAAGGAGCTTGTGATCATTACTTGCGATTTAGGACTAATATAGCTGGGCCTCTTAGCTGATTTCGATGCCGAATCGAATATTCGGGAAATCCTGTTGGTTTTCGTAAGTAGGGCTCCGTAAATTATAGAAAATCCGACTCCAACTCCGAACCTTTGCGTGATGCAAACGGCCGTGGATGGCTTTGCCAGAAGAGCGAACGTATTCAAATAACAGAGCAGGATTCCGAATAGGAGCATGTAGCTGAGCTCCCGGCCGGATGCTCTAACCAGTGGTGTGTCGTTGTGTTTTATGAACAAACCTGAAACAAATGCGGTGGAACATATTTTTACTTTTTTAACACCTGGATTCATAAAGCCTGAAAAATCGTATAGTTGTATAGAAAGGATACTCAAAATCATAACTTGTTGTTTGCATACCGGAGCTTCAAAAAACGACCGTCTAGGGTAAAGAAAACGTTAAAAAATTAAGTTAGTATGTATTCGAAAACTTCCAAAAGATGCTCTGTAAAAGGGGCCCAAGAAAATTTTCTTTTTTATTTTTGAAAAAGTCCACAAATACCTCTGATTGGGCTATAATAGTAACTGCTGCCAAAAATTTAAGTTTAATAATATATTATGCAACAAGTGTGGTAAACGGCATTTGACTCACTCGTTTATTTGACACTCGCTCCGCTCGTATCAAATAAACTCAAAAGTTTACCGAACGTCTTGTATACTATACTTTTTCTAAGACCTTTAGTTTTTGGCTACATTTTCGCAAAACAACACGAATACATTCACTGACATGACTGTCAGAATTGACAAACGTCAAAATTCAAAGTATGGGAAATATCTCCGAAAACATTCGATTGCTCCCAAACCCGTGCGGTAAAATCCCGGAAATGTCCGAAGTGGCTCGGATTCGTGACGCTTCCCGCACGCTAGATCGGTGCGTAATTAGGTATTTTACAGACGGGAGTGGAAAAAATAGTTTACAATATTTTTACATTATATCTGGTTCTGAAACAAGAATTTTGAAAATTTATGAATTTATTAATTTGGACAGCATGAGTTGCTAAACCGTTAAATAACTCCAAAATCAGTAATTTTGTTGAATTGAAACAAGAGTAACTTTTTATGGCAAATTGTTTAAAAAAATTCTTTTTTTTGGTGTTCTACAGGCATGTCACTGTGGGCCCTTTCTTTTCAATCTGTTTATTATTATTATTTTTGACGCAATTTTGGATTCGCATTGTCTATTATTTGTTGATGATTTGAAAATATTTAAAGTGATCGAGTTATATGCTCAGCTGCTCCCACGCGACTTGATTTGAAGGCCAAAAAGTGCTGCACTATTAGTTTTGGTCAGTTTTGATTGGTTTTACTTGCTTAGTGAGTACAGCTGTGTTAAAGATTCTTGGATTGTAAACTAACTTTTGAGAGCAATGCGAAACCTGGGTTTTATAGTACGCAACAGTATTTATTTACTTTTCCGGTGTGCTTCAAGCTGCTTTAAACTTCTGTGGTATGGTCTCTATACTATCCCTGTCATATAAGTAAAATTGAAGCTTTTCAGCGTTTTTAACATTCTTAGCTTCGAAGATGCAAAGGTTATCATATTGATCATGTGATTAACGGCGACTCTCTTTAAGTTAGTAAGTTTCAAGTTGATTATTAACTCTATGCAAAATTTTGAATGGTATGTATTATTGCCCAGCTCTTTTAAATCGGCTAAACACCGGTTATAAAAGTCCTAATAACGCATTCCTTTCTACCGTGCTAACTACGGAGTGTACTCTCCCCCTTAATAGAATGCTTAGAGCGTATAATCAGTTAAAGCTTGATGCGTTCGTCGGCAAAATAAAAGTGTCCGTTTAGCTGGATTGTTTATTATTATATTTTCGCTGGTAGTTCCATCTTGTTTACTTACTTAATACTTGTTTATTGCATATTTTTACTTGTAAACTGGTTAATACTTCAAATAAATTTAAAAAGAGTCTGGGTGAAGAATAAGTGTCACATTCCCTTTAGCGACTCTCCTGTACAAAATATTAAGGTTTTGTGGTATTTGTAGCCGAGATTTCATTTATAACTTTTAAATCGTTTCAGAAATAAAATAAAAGGACTTTTTGAGGCCGCTTTTTCAGAGATATTTTTGGAACATATATAACTAACCAAACTAATTATATTTTTGATTCTTGTATTTCCCTCAGGAATTAGCAGAACGTTTTTTGAAACGCATGTGCCTATCAAGGCATTGTAGTTTTCGCTTCGACCGATAGATTTAAATGTAAATAGTCCAAAAAGGGACTGTTTGTAGACTTTTTTGTGATTACTTTTGTGATTGACAAAAAAAGTTAAAAATATCATGAATTTATTTTATATCATGGTTAATTTCCAGGGGCAAAACAGAAGGACAATCCAATTATAAACTTTTTGTTCGCCCACGTTTTCGATCAAAGTTTGTTTGTAATGCGGGTTTTCGCTTTTGCTTTTCTCAACCAAATAAATTGGTTATTACGTGTTTCCTGCGAGCTTAAAATTCATGAGATTTTTTTTCCCGCCATGGCACCCACCGTTCGTGCATTTTGTTGCAGGATGCATTTAAATCAAAATCGATTTGTTTGATTCGAACGATCGGGCATTAGAATGCCGCATATCGCGTAGACAAAGTAACTGGTTAACGTTTTTCACGATGAGAATGAACGGGCTATCGGTCGACTAAAGAAACTTATTTATACTGTATGTAGGTTTGGATCTCGGGACATGTAAAATGTAAAATACGTTTCGCTAATTTGCATTTTTACGTGCCGAAGCAAAATTTCAGTTAGTTAAATGGATTGCCCGGTTAATTCTGCTATAGGTAGATCTGCCGAGTGAGATGGTCTCTTTCCTTTCATTTTCATTAACGAAATTGCTTTTAAATACTCCACTATTCCAGCATCCAATATGTGACGCGTTTTAGTTTGCCACAATGTTCCGAATCTTCGCAGTAGCGAAATACGAGGTGATCAAACCGAAAGGATTTCTTATTAATAAATATTACCGCTCGTTGGATTGGATTTTCTTAGGCTCTTAAGAATGACAGACAGGAAAAACAAATTTAGATTATTTAGTTCGATGTAAACAACCTTTCATTTTAGGAAGTTATTAAAAATTTTGATTTTAGTGCCTAACAATGTTAAGCCCAGATAACAGCTCATATTTCTCTGGTTATACTTGGAATTTTGTAAAACAAATTTATATTTATATATTCTTAATCTTCGTCTTGCAAAATGCAAGACGGTCAAATTGCAAGAATTTGTTATTCAGAAATATTACTGTTCCTTGAGTTGGATATTTTTTCAAGCACTTAAGATCTACACACTTAAATGTTTATTAGGATATAAACAGCAAATTTATTTTTTTAACTTATAGTTTTACTTTAGGAAATTATTAAAAATGTTCAGTTTCATATAAAAAATGCATTTTTTCTAATGGGAAGTCCCTACCGATATCAGACATTGTCCATTTACCTAGCCAAGATAACAGCTGACTCATGTTTAGTAGCAAAATGTACGGCAGAAATTGTTCCAAAATTTCAGTTTTATATCGACGAAATGCGTCTTTTTCTGGAGTCCAACTGTAATTCTGAATCCATTTAGCTAGCGAAAATGACAGCTCATGGCTTCTCTGGTTATATTTTGAATTTTTGTGACACTTAAAAAATATGCATTTTTGAAGCTAAGCGAGACGAAGTTCCCGTATCAATGTTTCTTAAAAAAAAAGATGTTATTGTGATTATTGTGGTAAATTTTAAGGGTGAAAGAAAAACTATACCTAAATTATCAGGAGACAAATAAAATATGCAGTGCGCAACCTGCCGTGTGACCTGTGAAGCATTTGCTTCAAACTTGCTAACGAGTTCCCTTCATATAAATGCGTGCCCAACGTGTTTATAAACAACAAATTTGTGCATATTCAGAAATTAGCCCAGGGTTATGCTTACGGGTCTATAATTAGATATTTAACATCAGCCAGGCAGAAACTTTTTAGCCAGCTTGCAAAGTAATCATGATTCCATATTGGAACTCTAGCATTATGCTAGATTTCCGTGTAATATTGAGTCTTTCATATTCTCTGTTCCATTTGCTTTCATGCACGAGTTTCCTAGGCGATTAAAAATATTTTTTATTCATTGGCTGTTATTTAGGCAATATCCTCAAGAGGCCAGACTAAAGAATTTTTCTTTAACAAATTACTATTACTGTTATAGGCATCCATATCGTATTGGCACTCTTCAAATATTCTCGTAAAAATGCGTATAACGCGAAGATGCATTCTAATATTATGTCATAAATATTTATTAGCTAAAAATGCGGAATCTTCTAAAACTTTTAAAATCCATCAAGATATTAAATATTTTAAAGCAGATAAAATCTGCAGTTTCCTTATGAAGACCATCCTTAAAAATCTCAATATTGCTTATGAAAGCTTATATCTGAAATCTCGTAAAATCGCGGCTGAAATTAATATGGCATCCAAAAAACCCAAATATCTATCCAGAGTTTTTTATATTATAGTTTCTTTTTTAATTATTTTAAAGCATTTTTTCTTTAATGTGTTTGGGATTCGAGAAAGTCACTAAGAATTTAAATTGAATTATCCAGCACTGACTGTATTATGAACTAAAACCGGTAAACTGAAATGCCCACATTTCCCTTCTACTTACCCGGACAAGGCAATAAATAAAATTTCATAGAGATAATTTGTTTGCTTTATATTGTCACGTGAACAGAGAAAATACGAGTTTATTAAATTACAGGTGATATTTCACAAAATAATTTGCCAGTCTCGAAACAAAAGACTCATGTACTGCGAAGAGTACGAATTCTAACGGTGGGAGAAATACAGATTGTTCCATTTTCAGGCTATTCATGCTCCATTATCTCAGATAGAACTAGGGAAGTTTCACGGAAGGGAAGAATAGCTATTCCAAAGTTGTTTACTGCTACTGATATAATCAAATCTACTAGAGGATATTGTTTAATAGCTCTCATCAAATTTGTTTTTTCCGCACACTCTGTCTAACATCCTACAGGACTCAATTTTTGTTTCGCTTAACAGAACAAGATTTAACTCTGATTCATTCAAAATTAAAATAAAAATTATTTATAAAGGCAGGTACAGAGTAAAATATGAGCCAGTTTCGGTCAAGCTCTGAAGAAGCCAACAGGATGATTAGCGAAACGTTAGCAAGTTCGAGTCAGCAAAAACCGACGCATTAGGAATCCAGAAGTTTTATAAAAAGTAAAATAAAAATTGGTAATTGGTAGTTTTGATTAAGAAACAATTTTATTTTTGGCAGCTATAAATCCCTAAGCTTCTACTAAGTCGAATTACGCAAATCAGAGCTACAGGGTTACGTTAATGTCGTATACTTCCCAATTAAAGCTAAGCTTACCTATTACGGCGAAAGTAATCAAAATGCCCAAGCAGGAAAACGCTGACGGAACGATTGCGTACGGCGAATCCCAACGCATATACTGTAATTCCAGAGGGTAGCAGGACAGTTTGTCCTCGTAGGGCCAAAATCCAGGCCCACAATCTTTGCAAGTAAATTCATCGAATACATATTCGTAGTCTTCGCATTTATCACAGATCCAACAACACGTATCTCCCTGAAAATAACATTATTTTTCCTATGCGCCTGTGTGTGTTTGTGAATTGAGCATTTTATGTATACAAGATGCCACAAAATGTGCGAAAAATATACACCCATAAGTTTGTAACTCGTGCCTGATAAGACATTCCAACTCTGTAACTATTTCAATTTAATTGTTTACTAATTATTAATTTTGACAACTCGGTGAAATTTTTGCAGAAAACGTTTGCTATTAACCAATTTTTTATTTAAAAAAAATATAACGCTTTGAAACCCTCCTTTGGGTTGTGCCACTGGCATAATAATATACCTTTATTTATATTTCTTATTATTTTATTTTTCTTATTTAATTTTTATTTCTTATATTTTATTTTTTTTGCGCATCTCTTCTCTATGTACATTTTTGTTACGTATTTAGTGTGTGTACTTAATCGCTTTCTGTGTTAATCTGTGTACTGTCCCATGGGATTTCTGATTTAAAGGGCATAGGAAATTTGTGAACCAACTCCCATTAGTAGTATTTATGGGTTAAGTAGCAGAACACCCCATACAATTATATATTGAGGTTCATTGAAGTTAATTTAATTACGAAATTGCATTTTATTTGAACTAACCAAAACTATGCGAGAAAACGTTTCAGTAAAGTAAATGCAATATTTAGAGTATAGGGAATATTAATATGAGTTTTTTTTAAAATATTTTTGTATAACCGGTAAGTGAATAATAATACCCGAGAGCTAAATTAAGTTTACAATATGTATATAAAATATAAATATATCTCTGATGGATAATATAACCCTTTCGAGATGAGAGGAGAGAGAGAAAAAAATAACACGAAGCAAAGGCGCCTAAGGCCAAAAATGCGTCCTTGTGTTAACTCATCGTCAACGGACGTGATTTATAAAGTTATCTGATATCTGATCCTTGTCTCGATAAAAATTGTGACGTAAAAAGATCCCTTCAATTTATCAAAAACAAGGAAAACGGTTCACTCGATAAGAATTGGGGGGCCGGGGTGGGAGGTAGGGAAAAGCAGTTGGCTATCTGGCCTGGCCGATTTTAGACGACTTACAGAATTTCTTGTCCGGAAAATACAACGAAACACTTTTAATTGACATTTTTTTTGTTTGTAATTTATTTATTTTGTTTCCTGGAATGCAAATACAGTCTCCTACATATGTAAACGAAGCAAGTGTCTTTCACTACTCTCCATAGTTAGTTTTTCGCATTCTGAAGGTTCGTGGAACGTGGAAATGAAATATTTTCAAAAACTGATAACCGGTCCCATGAGTAGTCAATTATTCATTTAAAGGGAGAGGACAACATTTCTACAGCAGACGCAAGATGTTACGGCTTTTAAGCGTTGATGGATGGACACAGATAAAAAAAACAATGGAAAACTTTACAAAGAGCCTTTATTCCTTCTTGTAGAAATTTCAAATTTGATGTAGCGGGTATTCTTTTTGTACTGTATTGAATAATAATAATAACATACAAGTGGCTAAAATTCTCAAGAAACAAAATCTTTTTACAGCGAAATTTAAACATATTTTATCGGAACTAAAAATTTTAAGGCATGAAAATTAGATTGGACACTGTGCGTGACACCTTTACCCACAGGAAATTAGTAAGAAAATATTTATTTGGCAAATAATAATCATAAATGCCTCCAACAATATTTTTATTTATATTTTCTTATTTTATTAGCAAACTTTCAATTATCTTCAATTACAGGTTCATAAAACAACTCAACAACGCAAATTTACTAATTTTTCAGGTGTCTATTCGTCTATTTGTTTCTCATGGTGACATTTATATTTTAACGGACACAGGAGTTGAATCGCATAATGAGATATACCATGACCAGGAATCAGGTACATAAATACGTACTTACTGGCAGGATCACATTCAAATTCATCCGTAGTATATACGAACATATTGCAATTTAGATTAAACTCTTAAGAACAATACATATCATCTAATATTAAAATAAACGATTCTACTTATTGCAGAATGCTCAATCAAATTTAAAACGGTCCATTTACGTTTCAAATAAAAATTTCTACAAAGACCTATTTAATGCAGACTAAACATCTGTTGGGAAAACGTCAATATTTTTGATCGTACGATAATCAGTTTCATAGTAATTTTTCGTCACTCAACAAAATATAAATAAACGTGTGACGTCGAAGACCTCCCTTGTTTAACACAGCCATTTGACATGATTCCTGCACCCATGGAAAAAAAATTGAAATGTAATTTTGTAGTAACTTTGAAGTAAATGATCCACAGTATAAAAAAATTATCTCGTAATTGAGCAGTAGTATCAACATGTCACTTTTGTTCTGTAACGAATATAGCGGCATATTTAATTCAATTAAAGTGTCTTTAGAGTTACATATTTATATTTTTTTGCTTTCTTTGCTTCTTCACTGAATTACGACTATCTCGTTATGTCTAAATTAATTTGCATAGAAACTAATGGAGCTACGCAGTAATCTCTAGCATAACCACTTTATTATATTTGCCGTAATATGCATATGTATTGTTGTATCGATTAAACTATTCATCCCACAGCATTACTCGAACGTGTTGATATGTCGTTTCATATCGAGAACAGATGTGTTTTATGGTAATATTAACAGCAGTGACATTAGCCCGTCCTGACTATGTATTATAATTTGCCATTTTTGCATAAACTTGATATTCTACGTCCTTTCGCGGTTTGCATATAAACGGGAGAGAAAATCGTTCCCTGAAATTTCTCGTTTTCTCAATATTAATTAAATAGGAAAGTATATTTATGGTCAATTGTTTGAAGCAATAAAACGACTATTGCACTAGCACATTGCGTTCAAATGAAAAAAAAAACTCCGTTGGTGTGGGCAAAAACGAAATTTTTTATTGTATTTTTGATTTTAATTTGAAAATCGGATTTTTTTTTTTTTATTTAAAATTTTCCATCATATTTACAATAGTACATTCAATTCTTCAACTGAATATTATCAGCATCAGCGAATAAGAGTTGAATTTCTTACGCAAATTTTTCAAAGCTTGGGCATGGTTTTTATTTGGGTTTAATCAGTTATTTAATCTTGCTGTTTTGATTCTTACATTATCTGGTTCCAAATTATCGGACATAGAAAACGCAAAACATGGTTCGAACCCCTAGCATTATTTTTATGTTAACCTTTAAATATGAATACAAAATATTCTGGAATGGAAGTATATTTACTAAGGACAAAATATTTCACGTCAAGAATACAAAACTACTAGAGTCTCTAGTCATCTGTAAATTTAAAATAATAGCTAGGAATTATTTAGACAAAGATATGTTCTAATGAAATGACTACCAAATAACAAAATTTTGCTATTAATATTTCCAAATTAAATTCCGAAATCTTCAATTCAAATTGCCTGAACTTCGTAATAAACCAAACTAGCCAAAGCGCAAAGATTAGGGGAAATCTTCTTCGAGGTAAAGCATAAATATGCCATTCCCAAACGGGTGATTTAAATTTCTAAACACCACATAGTTAAATCCTGTTTGGTCGATTCTTTATCTAGCTTAGTTATATACAGGACGATTGAAAAAGACAGGAGAAAGTCTGGAAATTCGACTTATAGTACGGTGCCCGATACAATTAATGTAGGTCTGAAACATTTTTTTATGTATGCTTAATCGTCTTAAAATTGCTCGGAATATCCCCAATTTCCACAATTTTGTTGTTTCCCCTGCTTGAAGACACGGAAAATATAGAAGGCAAACAGGGTCACGGGTCAAGGATCTCTGTAATCATTTGCTAGGTTAAAGTGTCCGGGTATCATTTTTAGTTTTTCCACACATACGTACGAGGGCAGCGCCAAAACTTCCCGGCCAGAATATGAAAGAAACAAAGTAGAGTAACAATTTTTTATTAATTTTCAATATAATCCCCCTTAACTTAAATTCACTTATTACATCTCTTTATTAACAACTCAATCCCTTTAAAAAAATATTCTTTTGGTTTGTCTGCAAAATGAGCTAAAACAGCCTCTTTTGACTCAACTTCGTCGTTAAACCGCCGTCCACGTAAGTCCTTTTTCAAATATCCAAATAAATAATAGTCGCTGGGGGCCATATATGGACTATAGGGAGGATGATCTATCTGTTGGAACCCACACTCTAAAATGGCAGCTTGAGCAACACCAGCAGTATGGACAGGTGCATTATCGTGCAAAAGACGCACGCCTCTGCTCAGTTTTCCCCGACGTTTTACACGTATGCAGTCTCGCAGTTTATGTAATAATCTTGCGTAATATTTACCATTGACACTGGTATTAGTTTCTTTAAAATCTATTAAAAGAATTTTTTCACAATCCCAAAAGATCGTGGCCATCACCTTTTTTGTTGACTGGCAGACTCTGAATTTTCTTGGAGGTGCTTCACCCTTACGACGCCACTCCATTGATTCTTTTTTCAATAGAGGGTCATAATAGAGAGCCATCGTTTCATGTCTCGTCACAATAGTTTCTATCACAGGCTTCGGTTCCGACCCACAGAGTTCCAAAAAAGACCGCGCACACGTGACACGGCGTTGTTTTTGCATAGCCGAAAGGTTTTTAGAAACCCATCTTGCACTAACCTTATGCATACCTAAATACCTAAATGATCATGCCGGATTCGACGAAAACTTGTATCAGAATGCTTAGTCATTTCTGAGATTTCCTTGATCTTTAAATATCAATCACTCAATACCACCTCTTCCACAGTCGCAACAATATCTTCCGTTATAACCTCCACTGGTCGACCAGTTCTTGAATCATCTTCAAGGGAGTCCATTCGAAAAAATTTTGCCCATTCTTTCACTACAGAATACTAAGGAAAACTTTGGCCCTACGCACCATCCAATCTTTCTTTAATAATTTTAGGTGCTAACTCTTCTTTTGTCAAAAACTTTATGACTGCTCTTTATAAAACTGCGTCGGCTTTTGCTTAGTGGAATTGCTGACGTTTCGCCAATCATCCTGTTGGCTTTTGCAAAATTTATGACTGCTCTATACTCGATTTGCGTTATTTGCGATATTTTTTCGGGCATGTCTTATTTAAAATGCTGTCAATAAAAAACTATTTGACGCAAGACTTCAAATTTTTTTTCGCAGCCTACTAAGATATATATTTAAAAGAGGACAAAGTTTTATCGTGATACTGGAGCTGCATCTATGTCAGGCCGGAAAATTTTGGCGCTAACCTCGTATTTAGTGGTATTAAAGCCACCAAGTGTTTTGTAGAACTGTGCTTAGAGTGGGCCTGTTTGTCTTGTTTCGGTGATAAAGAGAAACAGTTTTTTTTTTTAATTGTCACCAACACCAAACTTACCTGTTGCTTTTTTATCATGCCCACAGCGCATGGAAGGGAACATGCTGAAACCGGCGCCGTTGTCAAGTTGTGATCGAATACTAGAATTTCTTGGTTTAATTCCAAGGAATTGAACCATTTCCCGACAACCTGCAACAAAATAACATTTTTCAAAATATTTTTAGAAGACGTAAATTAAAACATAATAAATCTGCTCGATCACAAAACCAATCGTTATACAGCCAGAAATGCTTCCCGAATTCGTTTTTATCCATAGCCACGTTGCCGTGAATATAGACAGGGCCCGTTCTTTTTCGTGTCACTCCCGTCGAAATAAGTAAATATTTAATATTCTAAAAGCATTCGCCCAAGTTTTAAGATAAATGTGGATTTTCCAACAAAGAAGAACGCGTTTTCGGTATAGAGCGGCGGGGATGTATTCCTTGGCGGTCGTTTTTTTTTGCTGCTATACGAAACCACTTAATCTACTAGAATACTAGCATCTTTTTATTTCTCGATAGGGTGTAGGAAAGGGTGTTGTTTTGATACTCCAAATCGACCCCACTTAACTCTACTACATAGTATTTTCTAAACTGACATCCAAATATCATTTAAGTTTATATAATATACAATTAAAAGGTGTTAACGTGGTTAAAGATCTGGTGGGTATTCTGGACCTCTAAACTACAGACTAACTTTCAGTGTCCCGGCTTTTACAACCAATTATCTTTATAACTCTCCTCTTATACGATGCTTGCGAATATATAATAATATTACCAAGGATGATAGTAGTATTGAGTTACTTAATACTAATTTATGTGCCTGTATTAGGAAAGGAATTTCTATAACCTTACTTTGTTATTTGCCTTTAGCGTTGTTATTTAATTTAACTCCATTTATTATCCCTAGTTTAAAATAAAATGTAGTTTCTGATATAAACCTTGGGTCGAATCAGGGAGATATCGCCTAAAAATATTGCGAAAAATAATGTTTTTATTTTTTATCTTAAAAACGAACATAAATGAAATAATAAAATATAACGAATGGTATATCGTTATATCGTTTTATGAAAATACACTTTCAATATATATTTTTATTTTTGTTTAAATCCGTGGAGGGGACTGAATTCTTGAATTTTTCTTAACTAAATTTAAAAAATAAAATGTAAAAATGTCAAAAAAATGCACCTCTACATAAAATGCATATCTACGGTTTCTGCATTCGTGTAATTAATTTTAAACACGTTTCATGTTAATTTTTTTGCATTTGTTTGGAAACGCCCCGTATAAAAGCATTTTATTCTACTTCAAAAATGTTTATGTGTATTTCTACTGAACTTTGTTAATATTCTTCTCTTTTGTAATTCATCCTCCTCTATAATTTGTCTGCTACAATCCGTTTGTTGAGTGACTTCGTTTAAATAAATAAATATAGAATCGTAATTTTATCGTATCGAAACATATTCATAAAGTATAAAAATAAAATACAGGGTGCGCGCCATTAAATAAAATGTCGGTTGTGTTTCTATGCTTACCTTGTAATGATATCCGGAGGAGTTAGGTAGCCTTTGGTAATTGAGAATGTCGTATCTGGCAAGGCCGTCACCGCTTTTGTCAAACTTAACCGGACTTCCTACCAAATCTGTAACAAAAAAAAAACTTTGGAACCAAAAACCGGAATTTAGTATATAATCGAAAGCTTCTCCAAATTCCAAGCCCATTTTCGCGGACTGGAACAATTTAAACTTCATTTAAAATAAATGTTGGGTTTTTCCTAAATAAAAGCTCCTCTAAATTTAACGCCTTTTTATTAAACATACATTGATTCGTTATTTCTCTGCAGATCCTAATTCATGAACAAGATTTCATTCATTTTGTGTCGTAGGTTTCGTTTGTGCGATTTGTCCTGTACAATTAATTCGCGAATTATCAACCACTTTTAAATATACAGGATGGTTGGTCTACGATTCATCCTTTGCCTTAAACATATAATAATAATAATTTTCTTTCTTTGTTCAATAAAACAAAAACAATTTCATAAGTACCAAATTGTGACAAAAAGGAGCTCCTCTCGTTTATAGCAACCATTACAAACACTCTCTAAAAGAATACTGTTTGCGAGATAATTATATCCAGTTCTAAAATAGCACGGAAGCCTAAGAGCGCACGACAATAGTGGAAGTTGAGAAAAAATGTACTTCTAACGAACTACAATAAACTTCCGTTCATAAGAAATGCAAAAACAAAAAAACGAAGAAAAAAGAGGAAAAATTCGAGAAAAAAAGAATAGAAAAAAAGAAATAAAAAATCGAACAACCACCTTTTAAATGTATATTTTCTTTAGTTTAATTAAGTTAATTATCATCAAAGGTGCCAAAAAATAAAAATAAGTTTTGTCAGTTTTCATGACATATCTTCTCTCGGAAATTAGGCAACATACGAAAACAACTTAGTCCAAAAAGTTTTAGTGCCTTAGTCAAAGTGTGAGACGGTACTAGACTTCACAATTTTAATCTAGTCCTTTATCATTATAAATACCGTTCCTAAATTTTAACAAACTGGTGCAGAAAATATTTGACATTTATTTACAAATATAAAAAAAAAGTTTTTTTTAATATTGAACATCTTGGCGAGCGTTTTTTGAAACACCCTGTATACGTTTATGAACCACTCGTCCTGTATATATTGAAAAGGAAGTTTTACGGGTAAAAAACTTCACCCTTAATTTCTGATGTACCATCTCTGTAGATCATCGTGATGTGTGGATCTCATCTAACTGATACGACTGAACTTAATCCTGGAGAAATCCGGTTGTTTAAGCGATTTAAATTGAGTTTAGCTCGATTCCTCGTACTGTTTCGAGGGATTGGAAATAATACTTCGTTTACGACAACGCGGACAATTACATTAAGATATGTATATTTCCATTGAAAAGCTTCCCTTTAACATGTTCGAATATATCGCGATTCTTTTTGCCTTTGGCATCAGTATCTTTGTTTGTCCTCTCATCTTTCTTTATTTGATTTCGCCGAAACAAAGACCACAAAATCGACTTGAAACAGTTTGGGATCGGCTCAATGTGCTTGAATTAACCTTATATATTCGTACACCCATTCTATCTGCGGACATCTTCAATATTTTTCAATGTGTTAAGGTCAGATATTTGTTTCTTTGGCGTAATGGAAAGTTAAAACGTTAATCCCAAACTTTTATCTTTGTTATACTATTTCTAATAGAGATTCGAAATTAATTAATAAAGGTTTAGCTAATTATTATAATATTATAATTATTTAATATAGTGAATAACTGAAAGTTAGGAGTAAAAATTTCATACTGTGCCGATCACAAATATCGAAATAAAAAGTGGATTAGCAATTCCATATAAATGACCAGAAACGTATATACGAAATGACTTGTGCATAATGAGAATTTAAGTGATGTGGGGCTAATACATCGTTTTACTAAAAGTGTACGGGTATTATTCGTGAAATGATTTTTTGGTAGTGGCGGCAGTGAAATGACGCTAATTTCCGTTGATATTTTAATGTTTTGTAATGTCTAATGACGTATAATGGAAATTGCGAAAATTTAGCAGATAAACATAAATATGCGAAACAAGGCACCAAACACAATGGATTAGATTTATGTATGAACGCGATATGACTTTAGCTAGAATAAAAGCCTTAGCCATAAATTAGCGGGGGTTGCTTTTAACGATTGTTGTGTCAAATAACGTAAAAATATCGGTAAGCCGTAGTTTCCGCCGAATCTGTAATTGACGTGAAGCATGAATGATGTGAAAGTCCCAAAATTATAGGTATACAGTATCCGGCTGCCTCCGTTGTATTATAAATACCTAATGTAAATGTGATTTACGGTATGATTGTGCGTTTACAGTTTTTACACATTAACATTGTATTACCAACCTTTAAATGCGACGTCTAGGATATAATTCTGGTAAAATTCACCGCCATCATATTGAGCCATAGCCGGGCATACACCCTGTTGTTCATTAGCTGCACAGACATCGTTGTATAAATTATTGAGAGCTAATCCAAACGCGTAAACTGCGTCTACGACGAATTGAGCTTTACTTTCTTGTTCGTACCTGAAACAAATTACAAAAAGACTTCTTATAAAAATTCGAAAAGTTCTCCTTTATTCTACGGAAACAATTTTAGTCACATTTCAACATTTTCTATCATATTTGCTCCGGCAGTAAACGTAATACGAAAATATTAAGAAATTTATAAATCATACACGTCTGTCGCAGTCAATTTTCTTCCTTCATTTTTTTTCTACCTAATTCCAAAACTTAATTTTGCTGTGGGCCTTAAATCCGATCGACACATCGTGAAGCCACACTACTGCTTTGATCTCATATTTTATATATTTAACGATTTTCCACTTGACCCTGTATATTTTATTAGCCATTGAAATGATTTGTTTCTAATTCTTTGTAGTATTAAAAAAAATTATTAACTCAACATAATGCATTTTTTACGGGACGAACTCACAAATGCTGTTGAGGCCGGAACCTTCATAGCAATAACAGCAATAATTTAATTTTACATGTATTTGAATCCATTTTTCGATATTTTATAATTCCTGGTGAATGGAATTAGTTTTAAATACGAAAGCAAATAGTTAAGTTTTTTTTTAAAATTGGCTGCAACGCTTAATTTAATATATTGAGAATGCTTTATAATGCACAATAAACCCGGTTTTGATTTATCGCGTATACACTAAAACAAATGCATTCGCGTAAATATGAGCTCAAATATGCAGTTTCCACTTTTTTATTTCCATACTGAGCGCGGTTTATCAATTCGTTTGACAAATGATCCCACTTTAACCCCTGAGATCCTCAGAATATACCATTGTTGTGCATAACACTGTGGATAAGCTTTATCATTCCGTTTACTTCAGAGAAATTTAGTAGATTTTCCTAATTAAGTAGAAAATATTTCACTCCAGTTCATGACGTTTAAGGGACAATTAATTTCATTACCTCCCTATTTAACTTGACATATTTTAATCATTCTCAGGCTTAATGCTACCCGACAAAAAAACCTTTGTTTTACTTATTAATTTGGTGGTGAATTAATTTTGGACTGCTTGAAATTATTTTTAATTTATTTCCTCTCTGTTCATTTGCAGTGGACATCAAAAGATGCCAAAAAAATTAAATCGAACATCCCCTTCTTGAACTAAGTAGGACCATCGAACCAGTAAAATAATTTAAGTTTATTTATATTTCCCTTGTAATTTTTTCCCTTTTTGCAAATTGCAGAATAAAAAATATTTATTTTAGTCAAAACATGTTTGTAAATTACTTTTAGAAATTAAACAAATTAATGTATATTTAAAATATCAACTTTTTAATTTCCATGAAATTTTGTACTGTTTATTGTATAAAATGGAGGTTTGTATCATGAATATCAGACCGTAACGGTGCATTAAGAGTAATTCGAAGTTCCTGAAGTAGGATGTTAACTGTCTTGAGGGATATGCGAGTTTAGAATTAAGTTTCATAAATAATTCGAGTCAAGTTTTTTATTTTTTGTAATATCTTTTGAAAAAGGCTCTATTTTCGTTTTTTTTATCTTATTTTTTTTTATAAATTAAAAATAAAATAAAATTTCTGTGAAATAAACGTCATTTACGAGCTAATGCACCTAAACTATTTTGTTGCTGATTTAAAGTTTTCCTAACAAAAAAATCACTAAAATCTTAAGTCCAGAGCATTTAAGTGGTAACTTCAAATTAACATAAATTTCGCAGTTAAAAATTGTATATGACCTGAAGTTTCGAATTTTTGGAATCTCGAATCCTCTGCTCCATTAGTTCATATACGGAATACAATAAATCTTTAGTTAGGAAATTTAATACAAATTCCAAATTTATAACTCGAAGGCCTACATCGGTCTAATAAAGCGAAAGTTTTCGAACTCCCAGAATTATATAGGTCGATTTTCTCCGAAAATTTATGACAAATTCTTTTAAGAGACGTAACTTAAAAACTTTAAATTAAATTAAAGCCAAAGCAAAATTATTTTCTTAGATATAACCGCAAATTGCGTATAAAAACCATTAAATGTCTGCGAGATAGTACGGTTATAAAATGTATAGTCTCCTTACGTTTATCCTTAAATGTTAAAGGCACACGATTTCCTTCAAAATCTTCTAAATTGCATTGAGTGGAGGAAAACATTTCCACCCCTGCGATAGACCAGCAATTTCCCTGCCTCGTTTTCCACTAAAGCTTTCCACAGAGTGGGACTTTGAAATGGACAGAAAATACTTTCCCCTTCACGTAACGATTTTTCACCATAGCCACCCCAAGTCAAATACATTTACTTCCAAATTAAACAATATTTATAAAATTCACAAATTCTCTTAACGACCAGATGAAGTTTCATAGAAATTTGGATGAATTAACTGTGTTCCTAATAAAAATTAAGTTTTATTAGCATCAGCGAAATGGATCGATAACGCATTAAATTTTATCGACAACATTATTAAAATAAAAAATATAGAAAAATATCAAAACGGATCGTTCAAAACTCGGATGTCTACCGGAATACGGAAATTATTTTCCAAGTATAATTATTAACCAAAATTGAAACTGTTTTTCATAAATCCGTAGCTTCAGATTGATCGGTCTTACTTTTGATCCCCTCGCGGCTGAAACTAGCAACATATCGAGATTTTCATACTTTTTTTTCAATTACCGGATATTGCCTCAGGTTATCACGAGCACCAAAAACGAAAATGACTTCGTAGTTTAAAATTCTAATTAAAACTCGATTAAGGCCATTTTGATCGCCTGTCGATCCAAATTTTATGGTAAACGTGAAAGTTACGATAACGACTGGGATGCTGTTTACATTTAATGTATGGGATATAAATAACATTTCTGCTATTTTGTTTCAAAATTAATAATATATTGCGACTCTCTTTTTAGGTTCAAAGTTTAAAGAAAATGACCTAAAAATTAGTCGAATTCGAATGCACAAAGAAATTTTATAAATGAACGAGTCAAAATTATATGCGCTGCAAATTACACGACAAAGGTTGCACGATCCCTCGCTATGATATTGTCGCGTGGAACATCATTTTTTTTAACTCGCGTGCTTCCAATCGGGATATAAATGATCCAAGTTCGGCGTTTACGAATAATTTTTCTTTAAATTGATAATTATACCGTAGATGCTAATCGCATTATTTGGTGGGTTCGTTATTCATTCGTCCTTCGGTATCCAAACCTATCAATTAACATTTTTTCAATCAATTTTCAACCGCAATTATTCTATCACATACGCAAAATAAGAAATACCTAAGCTGAAATTTTTAGCCATCGATTTATTCAATAGTTTTTAATATATATGAAGTTTTGCAAAAGCTTCATAAAATATAGGGTGTTCTATTATATTTATCAAAACATGTTTTTATCTTCTTAATATGAAATCGCCCCGAATTAACCCTACAAGTTAGAAAAAGGTATTTTTATTTATTCTCAAGATAGGGGAAGTTGAATTTGGATGTCCTGTACTGGTGGCCCCTTTAAGAGGGGCCTATACAGGGGTTACAAAAAAAATTAAATACAAAAGTTGTTTCTATTGAAATGACCTTTTTTTTATTTTCCTAATGTTAACTTTTTTATATATGGGGTGGTAGTACAGAGTTACATTTTTTTAAATAGAACTATGTATATGAGCATGGGTCTGTGATGCACCGTTTCGAACTTATTAGCCATCATCTTCAGAATTGATTATTATTTTTGTAAACTTTTTTTCATCTATTATATCTGTATAATATTGGATTTTCGAATAGCCACTTTAATAGCAATTTCAGTTATATAACATAGTACGGGTCTCTGACTTACCGTTTTGGCTTAATTGACAGATAAAATTAATAACTGGGTATAAGATTTAAGTTATTAAGATATGAAACTGGGAATAAGGTCCTTATCAACTTGTTCACAACCGTTTTAGACCATTATTAAGAAGTCATATTAAAAACAGAATATTAAGATTTGCACAAAGTTGCCAAATTTCGCAAATTACTTATTTCTACGTTTAAATGTATACGGGAAATGATTACAAAAAATTAACACTAACCACTAATGCATATTACTTACAAGTAACATTAATTAAATTAGTTTTTCAATATGTCAATATGAGAAGTAATTCATTTCATTCATCACAGATCCATACTCACATACATCGTTGAATTTGTCTTCGAGAGGACTATCCAAAAATATATAAAAAAGTGACGATTAGGAAAATAAAAAAAGGTCATTTTAATGGAAACAACTTTTGTATTTAAAAAATGTTTCGAGATAAGGCATAGGCCCCTTTGTACATAATTCAAATATTAGATTGATTATTAATTATAATACATTAGAAATATTAGATTTAGGATTGCTTGACGCCTACCTTGAAAGGATTTTTCGTATCAAATTACTAAAATATATAACTCTTCGGAGCTCCCATTTCTGCTTTCTTTCTGACATGCTGTCAAGTGCAATGCACTACATTTTATTTATTTACCATCGTATTTTATTTTATTAGTTCGTTGGCGTATACGGCAGAGTAAATTCTGAAGCTTGTATGACTTTAGTTAAGTTGCCGTATATTGAGATGAAATTTGCCTATTCAGTGTAGTTCATTTAATTCGCAAAAAATAAAGTATAATCGTTTAAAATGTTATCATTTAATTGGAATATTATTTTAACGCTGGAACAAACAATAAATACGTCTGAAAGGTTTTAGGTTAACGTCGTTCTGTAACCTCTCACTTTTTGGGGATACGGCAATGCGTTTGTTTATATCGAATCAATTTACATTTTAATTTTTTATAAATTTCGCTACGAAAGTTTAATCTTTCTATTCGATTATTGACATATATTATGAAAAAAAAAACGTTTTTTTTTATTACAATAGCTATCAATATGCACTTTTTTCCGTATCAAAAATTATTTTTTCTTCATCTTTTTTTTCATTGAATTCACATTCGCTTTACTTTACTTCAGATGTCTCATAATACCTTTGCAGAAACCGTCTTATAAGCTCATGTCTTTTTTGAATAAGAAGAAAAATACAAATCATCTTACAGGGTGGTTTTTAACTCAAACGGATCGGACTGATGTAAAGCACAAAGTTCGGTGTTTGTTTCGCTTACCCATATTCAGGAGTAAGTTGAAGATCGTCAGCGCATACGTTTATGGACACGTTGGTTTCTAACGGGACATTTTTCTGAAGGACGCATTGAAAGAAATCTTCCCAATATTGTTCAAACCATGGGTTTCTGGTATTAGTTTCGGGTGTCAGCGTCATCATATATTCGTCGAATTCGGGTATTATATCGGATTGAAGTTCTACTGTAATGGCGCCTTCGGCGACGTCTTCGACACCTTCTAGAAGCTTTTGCTGCTTTCCCCATCCATCACTGGCCACCCAGTAGAAATAGTCAGTGGCGTTACCTCGTTTAGCCGCCATAAGGATTCTCCTGCAACAAAATGAAATAGAAATTATCTAGTTGCGACAGAATCCGCCATTTTTGAATTGCCTTCGATAGAAGCCGTTTTCACATACAGGGTGATTCTAAATTACGCTTGTCGATTTGTTTCTGTAACGAAAAAAACAAAAACTCATCTTAGCAACCAAAAACTTGGTCAGGACCAAAGCGAAAATTTCAAAATAGGCTTGGCTTTGTAAATTGAATGATAAAAAAATAAAAAAAATAAAAAAATTTTGTAACTGCCATTTAAGACGTGGCTATCCTTTTCTTACAATATTGTCACCATCATAAAGCAATTCCAAATAGTCGATTTTCCACCAGCATATCTTAGAAAAATAATTAAAACAATACTGTTTCAATTGAAGCTTTAAAAATACAATTTGTTGTGATATGTGTATATTTATTAATTTCTAAATTTATTTTGCCCGATGATGTGATTTTACCCCATTTTTCCGTTGCCCACTTGTCGCTTAAATGGATAACAGAATACAAAAAAAAAGTAAGTGCGAAATAGTTTTTAGCTTGTTATTTGATATGTAACAAGTCTAGTAGGGTTAACAATTTTTTGTTATTGTCATTATTATCATCCTCGCCTCAACAGTGTTTATGAAATCGTCTCAAAAAAGTCATTTAAAATTTGTTATTTGTTGTTGCAGTATATTGAATTAATTAAAGCTCTCATTAATAATAATAATTATTAAATTAAAAAAATTACAAACAAAATGTATGAAAAACATTGGGTGAATTAATTATTTAACCGGCGATGGTGTTTAAACATTTACGATAAATTTAAACAGTAATTATAAATGATAAATGATAATTTTGCTTTTATTACTTGCAAATTAAATTAAATAATCAAGTCCCGGCTAGTTGGAAAAACTTCCCGCTTTTAATCATGGTTAATTTTTAAACATTTCTTAATGTGGTTGGTCGTATTGTTAAATAAAATATGTGCCTGAAAAATTGCATCGAGAATTCCATTTTTGGATAATTTGGCAACCTAATATCCCTACTGTTGCGCTCGATATTAATTTAAATATTCCCCGAGGCTTATTGGTTTTTAGTTGCGTCGGGTTTCACTAAAAACAAAAAGGCAGCTGCCACCAACAGCACCCCTTCCATTTCGCACTTGATTTGGCTCACTTATGACACCAGTGTCATTCCTTTAAAGAACCGTCAAAAAATGTTGTCGTGTAAAAGCCTACTCAATCGACAAAGAGTCGGAATGGAACTCACTGTTAAAAGAAATTCTTTAGAAAAGAAAATCTCTGCTTTTTGCTTGCTGGATTCGGTTTAAATTATTCCGTTAAAACTACGCAGTGTTTTCAAAGATTAACAATAAAACTAGGGAATGCTCGTTCATAATAACAAAAGAATTTTTTTTTCCTTTTTTAAAATTGGATTCTAAACAAATTGTTTTTGTTAATGCTGATAAAGAATAATAACAAACAAAATTTTTGGTTTCTTGATGTTTTCTGCACTCAATTTATTTATATTAAAAAAAATCATTATAAGGTTTGAATTCAATTCTTTTTCATTGCAGGAGCAAATTAAGCTCCATCTAAACTGGAATGGTTATTGTAATACAACTAATGTCAAGTTTGTGAACCAAATTTTATTTAGAAAGAGGGGTAGTAGTTGCGATTCCTTTCTTTGCCATATACGTTAATGCTAAAGGCATTTGGAAATTGTAAATTTATTGTTTTGCATATGGTTAAGTGATTATAAATTATTGACATGTAATAACGAACATTTTTAATTTGATTTTATAATTTGTATGATGTGCTAATGAATATTTGTACGCAAATTAAAAATAAATCAGTATTTTGTTATCCTTTACCTATTGATTTCAAATTGTAAGTGAAACAGTTTCAGTTCAGCTCTGAAGGAGCCCGAAAAGATGATTATTTTATATAGACATAATAATTATCAAATATAATATGAAAATTATTCCAGTAGAAGTTACATCGGTATATAACTACGAGAATAACCAATTGCTTTCATTACTAGCCATTTTTTCCTAATCTAAAACCTGCCTCAGTCCAACAGAATCAGAGTAAAACAGTAATTTTTGCAAATAAACATTCGTGAAAAGCAAGCAATTAATATAATTCACAAAAACTTAAAATTTTATCAAATAATTTACAAGACTTATTGACTCAATATATAGTAGTTACAAAGTCAAAAACCTGTTGCCCTTTATTTTTCGATTTGCGTATTATCGGTTACCCAAATTGGCCAATACCTTCACTAATAAAATTCCGTTCATCTTCCATAAGCTTTTTTTTGCCGTTGGCTCAAAGAATAAGGCAGGAATGAAACTCTAGGGAGTATTATACGTACACCGAAGGATACGGTCGTTTTATCCGATTTATGTTTAACTTTATTCGGAATATTTTGCCCTTTGAAATAACGGAGAGTACAAAAATGCGAAGCCACACATTTTGTCCGTTTTGTTATTTTCGGATTTGTCTTTCTCGGAGGTTATTTCTTGTTATAAATGCAAATAATAAACTTATTTATTTATTGTATATAGTTACTTGAAATTGTACCAAATCACCGCCAGCGATTGTTGTCGAAGGTTTTTAGAAATATTTAAGTACATGATGAACCTTTATATTTTTCGATTTTTTTACGAAGTGGCGCTTTATGTTTGTTTACTTTAAGCGCTTCAAGAATACGGTAAAGCTGTTGAACGATCATCCATTCAATTCAATGGTATTAAAGCACGCAACAACAAAGGAGCCTCCAATAAAAACTTTGGTTCTCTCTTCCCTTGTTAAGTGGATTACTCAATCAGAGTGCCGTGTAATTAATGTATATGTCAGAAGGAGTAATTTAACACAACCTGTAATATAGAGAATGATTAATTGCGGATATTACATTCAATTGAAGCTTCAGAATTTCTTAATAGAAATTAATTTAATCGCAAGCTCGACATGTTTTGAACGAAAATGTCGTGCGTATTATATTTATAAACATAGAATGGCGGTTCGTCGTTCTTTCATGCGGGTTTTCCCCAAATATAATCCGAAGATGCCATTTGACAGCCTCGATACGAGGATAACGACGATAATAACAGTATAAAGTTTTATTGATTTTTACACACGCGGTAGAAAGGTGTATTTTTTTACTAAATTAGGTTTGTTATTTGTTTACTTTTTATTTGATTGATTTGAAGGTTCTGTCGGACGATAAAGAAATCTTATCGGATACAACATTCGAACTTCAAATGCGTTACCATCCTTAAAACCATAAACAAAATTAATGTTACCAAGTTGGTTGTTTTTGATTTTCTACTTTAATGTGGTTTAATGCCGAAAAGTTTGATATTTTCAGGGTCAAGTAGGGGTTGTTTAATTAAAAAATCTGAAAATACTTAAAACATAAAAGAAAATTACCCATTCTGCAATAAAATTCAAAAAATCCCACGAATGGAGACGCGTTTATTTATTTATTTATTTATTTATTATAACGAGGTACCCTAATATGACTAACTAACGTCACAATTTACAAAAGTACACTAAAACTAAGTACATTTATCTTAATTCAAAAGAGTAAGCAAGACTATTTCTAAACCCAAAAAAAAACCAGAAAGAATTTAATTTAGTCCGTGCCAAAGACTCTTATTGCTTGTTTCCTAAATGAATTGGGCGACAAAGCAAAAATATCAATGTGCAAAAAGTAACTGTTGCAAAAGTAACTGTTGCAAAAGAGATATTAGTGAGCTGCTTCCTAAATTTGCGCTATATTTATGTGTTCTATGGATGTGGAAAATTTGAAGAAATATGGAAGTTGTGTCTTTGATTAAGAAAAGTATTTAAATTAACAAAAAATTTGCAAATAAGGCATGCCCAGGTTTATGAAAATCTTTTCTTTGTGTAATTAACAAGAAATAGAATGTCCAGCAACATGCAAAGTGTTTAATTTTTAGACGAAGCTAAATATAAGAAAAAAACGGAAGACCTAAAAAAATATTTTTGATTACTTCTTCCAAAAAATGTATTAAATCCATAAAAAAAATATATTTATAATGATATTAATAAATATTAATTAGATCACCCCGTGGGACGCCGCTGCAATGAATAATTTTATTCTGATTAACACAGAATCAAAACCCTTATGATGACAAGTCTGCTACAAGGCTTCTGAGTAATTTAGTTAAGTTAAAAATTTTACTACGTCTATTTGCGTTTTGAAAAAGTTCGAAACAAACTTGTTTTTGCCAATTAGTTAATTATAAAAACTTTTTATTCAATTGTCCCTAATCGGGGGACTTAAATTAATGGTTAAAATTACGCCCAGAGGTTTATCTCGTTTGCACCTAAAGATTTATGTTCGAAGGAAGCATTTTGATTTATACGTTTTTATTGTTGAAGTAATTTTACTGACAGGCAAGAAATGGAATACACAGAGTAATGAAACTGGATGTGTTCCGGAAAGAAATATCAAATAATATATTACGTCTCTCGTAACAGTGCCCCAATTTGAACAATTAATCATTTGCGCGCCATGTTTTGGAGGTTCGCGTAAAACGCAAGCGCCGATATGGATTTTTCATTGCCTACATACGAATTAAAATTTGACATCTATATGCTCTCCTCTAAGGGTAGCATTATAAAAAAGGTGGCCCAAAAAATGTAAACAATTTTAAACCCAATCCTATTTTCCCAATCGTCAATAAAACTAGGCTCCTTATTCCCAATATTTTGAGGTTAACAATTTTTTTACCAACTCACAGTTTGGCTTTTGAGGTGAGACAGCACTTTTATGCAACATCACGAAAACCTTTGATTGTGTGGACTATTAATAAGTTCATTTGGTGTGGGGTCAGGGGCACTCCACCTAAACTGCTGAGTATAAAGGATAGAATGTTAGAACAAGTGCGAGTCTTTTGCAAATGCGGTTTTCACACACGATCTCGCCATTTCTTTTTCGGATGCGCCAGTGAAATTTTCTGACACAACCTGAACATCCACAGAAACTAC